TCTGTGGGGCCGTGGGACTGGTTCTGGGCGGGGATGGGCCGACTCGGCCGGGTCCGCTCGGTCCGGTGCCTGCCTCTCGGGGTGTCAGGTCGATCGGCATTCCGCTCGGGGGTCTTGCAGCTGCTGGGCGGGGCAGCAGTTTTCTCGTCTGTGTTGTGCGCTCTGGTGTACGAAACGGCTTCACGTCTCCCCGTCTCAGAAGAGCCTTGCGTTACACTGGGCCAGAGACCTTGACGATGGTCCTTGTTCCACAGACTCGGGGACCGAGGCCCGCCGGGCTCAGTGCATTGGCCGAGGCCCCGGGGAGAGCGAGCGTGAGCGCTGGAACCTGTTCTCCTGCCTCCCAGTCCCGGCCCCCCCCCCCCCCCATACACTCAGCTCTGTTACCATCTGATGTCTTTATGTCTCTCTCCTTTATCGCCCCTCTGACTTCATTTCATGGCAAAATTTCTTCACATTTGTTTGGTGGAGATGAATGTTTAGTTCACGATTCTAGCTGAGCGGCCGGGAGTCCTCTAGTGAGCGCGATACCAATTGCCTGTTCGTATTCTCTCTCGCTCTCGTCTTTTCTCCTGACCTGACCTACCTGCTGAGGTGGTGACAGGGCTTATGGAGCTTTGCAATGGGTCTGGCCTTGGACACGTACAGCCTGCAGCTAAGCAGGTCTCTTAGCTACCCCAGATCTGTTTGGAATGGTGTTTCAACGTTGCTCTGAGTATGTGTACAAGTAATGAGTATGTATGGGAAGTGAGGGCTGCATAGACTCTTTATTGGCTAATGGTCAGTCTTGTGCCTTTCCTTTTTTTTTTTTGTGCCTTTCCTTTTTTAAATTTATTTGATCAATTAGTCTTGAAATGTGCAAATTTTATTTATTTATTTTTTTTCAGTTTTAATTGTAAATGAAATTTGCAAATTTTAGTGTGGGGTACGTTGGCAGTGCTTTTGTTGGTGGTTCAGAGTCCTTAACTTGTAGAGTACTCTAATTTGCTGTAAGATGCCATAGGTGGTAAAGTGGATCAAGGATAGATCAGTGCTAGTTAACATGCCATTCAGAAGGTGTGATGCATTGCACGGAGGAAAACTTTAGAAGATTACCCTGAGTGTAATTGGTGGGTTAAGGAAGTTTAATTTTTTTAAAAGCATTTTGTGATTTCAGTTTGAATTTTATGTGATATTAACAGGAAGAGCGGTGACTTTGGCATTAAAAGAGGAAGGTTTAAGTTCTGGCGCTGTTACTTTTTCAGCTGAGCAGTCTTTGTTGAACCAGCTAACCTTGGAGTGTCAGCATCCTCATGGTGTGAAGTGAGGCCAAGGATTCCTGCCCGGTAGGATTGGTGTGAGGTTGAAATGAGATGTACTAGTATGTGCAGGCATTGCATAAACTATACAACTACTCACAGAGGGATGCAGACCCTATTCGTAAGATCTCAAGAATGGAGGTGCCATGAAATTAGAGGAGTAACGCAACACAATGCTTTGTGTCCAATAGGTTTTTTTTTCCTTTTCTTTTAATATCACCCAAAGGATTTCTTCACTTTCCATAGATCATTTTGATGGGAAGAATTATAGGACTTTTAAAGCAGGTTATGTCAAGGGAAAATGGAAAATGAAAGTATTTCATTTAAAATGAAAAATTCCTTAAGAAAGGGTTTTCCCCTTGTCACCTTCTGAGAATTCATTTAGTTGGGAGTTCTATATAAAATGATGTGGTAACACTTTACAGAGTTTGTAAAGTACTGGCTGCAAACCAGTGTGGTACAAATGACCGCATGTGCTGGGTTGTAAAGGAGTGATCCGAGTGGAAGTGACCTGAAGGAGGGGTGCTTTCCGAAGGCCACCTGCGCTTCTCCAAGTGGTGGACAGACGAGTAGGGGAGGACGCCGGTTTGTGGGGTGGCAGAGGCGCGGCACATTGTTCTTTACTGACTGCAGTGGAAAGTTAAGCACAGGATCTTTGTGTGTTAAGTCACTGGACTTCCTAAAGTGCAGGACAAGTTTCCAGACAAAACTGTCACTTAACCTGCTAAATTTGTTCTTTCTGCCAAAATATATATTGATGGTACTGGAAGAGAAAAAACCTTAGTATCTTTTTATATTTAGTTTTTGCCTTCAGTCTCCACCCTGACTCACTCGCACCCTTCATTTGGCCATTTATGTCCAGAGCCATAGAAAATAAGCATTAAACAGCACCTACAGTTTATAGGTGAAGCCGCGGCTTCATTTTAAAATAACAAACACAAAAACCAGTAACTGTTATGAAAAAGAAAGTTAACACACATTATCTCAATTTTTCAATTTCTTCATCAAGCATTCTTTGAAGAATATAGATAGGGTGTTTTTTTTAATTGTGCTTTTTTTTAGAAATATATTTTTTTATTGATTTCAGAGAGGAAGGGAGAGGGAGAGAGAGATAGAAACATCAATGATGAGAGAGAATCATTGATCGGCCATGTCATACATGCCCCCTACTGGGGATGGAGTCTACAGGCTGACGCTCTATCCACTGAACCAAACCCGGAAGGGCTATAATAGGTTTTTTTTTTTTTTTTTAATATATTTTATTGATTTTTTACAGAGAGGAAGGGAGAGAGATAGAGAGTTAGAAACATCGATGAGAGAGAAACATCGATCAGCTGCCTCCTGCACACCCCCTACTGGGGATGTGCCCGCAACCCAGGTACATGCCCTTGACCGGAATCGAACCTGGGACCCTTCAGTCTGCAGGCCGACGCTCTATCCACTGAGCCAAACCGGTTTCGGCAAGGTTTTTATGAGTAACCCTTTTACAAGTTAGTAGTAAAATAAAATAAAATAAAACTTTATGAAAGTGTTATTTGAAAGCAGTTAGTCACAGCTAGTATAAAGCCTTGTGTTCACATGCTTTTGATGATGGACAGGAGTGAAAATGGGGAATCTTTCTCTTTACCAAATCTGTGATATTGAGGCAAAAGTTCAGTGTGACCAGGAAATGCTGACTAGGGAGAAAACTTAACACCTACCATTGGCTCTAGGTCAGCCATGGGCAAACTACGGCCCGCGGGCCGGATCCGGCCCGTTTGAAATGAATAAAACTAAAAAAAAAAGACCGTACCCTTTTATGTAATGATGTTTACTTTGAATTTATATTAGTTCACACAAACACTCCATCCATGCTTTTGTTCCGGCCCTCCGGTCCAGTTTAAGAACCCATTGTGGCCCTCGAGTCAAAAAGTTTGCCCACCCCTGCTTTAGGTCCTCTTAACTTCACTCAGAGGTCCTTTTGCTTATTACCAATGTATGTAGACCTTCTTGTAGCTTTGTCTAGGCCTATAAGAAACAGTAGAAAAAGTGATGTTAATATCAGTACTAATTAAGGTATGTTCTTGGCTGGGAACCTACCACAATGTCCTCAATGAGTATTCTCATTTTAGGAAAATCCATACTTATACTCTTCTTACTGCTACATGGCTCTCCAAAATAGGCGTATCTCTTGTAAGTTGAGACACTTATTTGCAAGAGAGGCTAAACAAATACTGTTTAAGAAGAGAAGCAAAAAGAAAAGAAAAACAAGATAAAAACCCCCAAACAAAAAAGAGATAGCATTGATAAATGCAGCAGGGTGAAAACAAGATAAAAACCCCCAAACAAACAAAAAAGAGATAGCATTGATAAATGCAGCAGGGCAAACTGTGACTATGTTTTGTGTGTGTGTGTGTGTGTGTGTGTGTGTTTGTGACTATGTTTTGTGTGTGTGTGTGTGTGTTTAAGAAATTTTAAAAAAATTATTGATTGATTTGAGAGAGAGAGTTGTTCCACTTACTTATGCATTCATTGGTTGCTTCTTATATGTGCCCTGATGGGGGATCAAACCTTCAACCTTAGCATATTGGGATGATGCTCTAACCAACTGAGCTACCTGGCCAGGGCCCTGACTATGTTTTTTAGAGCAGTTTACAAGGATGGGTTAATATGCTTTTCATTCTGGTTAATATGCCCTTTTTTCCCCCTCATTTTCTACTTAATGAATTGATGTGAAGTTTTGATACAGATAATTGGTGGAACTGATTTCCTGCAGGTTTTGTTAACTGGTAGACAGCAATGGTGTATCTAGGGAATAGGATGAGCAGCTTCCTGGAGGAGTGAGTAACACTAAAAGAGGAAAGTATATTGTACTACTAGGTTGAAAACTGTTAGAAAATCAGGAGTTTGTGCAGATTTGAAGACCCCAGAGCAAGCATGTCAAACTCAAAGGCTAACACGGGCCAAATAAGGTTAAGTTTATGTGGGCTGCCAAAAAACAAAAGCTTCAATTTTCATAGAAACATAGGTTTATTTCGATAGAGACATGCTGAATACAAAGGGGTGAAATAAATGAGTAATCATTAACATAAAATAATAGAACATTTTAATAAAAATTAATTTTTTTGAACATTAACTTACCAGACACTGAATAACTGCACAAATTAATAAATGTAATGCAAATAAGCCTATTTTTTTTGTTCTCCGACAGCAAAATATTTCCTGTTTCGCACACCAAACAAGTCAGTACAGGCTAATGAAGTGGCAATCGGCTGCTAAAATATTTGCTGCTGGTCTTAGTGGAGAGAAATGGTGCGCCTGGAAATGAATGCAACACGATTATAGAAATCAGTCCTTAGTGAACGTTGTAGTTTGTTATTAATAATTATGTATAACAGGATATTGTAAAAATTAAGTTGTGAAATTTTTATTAAAACGTTTCTTACATATGGTTATATTGGGTGGGCACAAAAATATTTGTTGTGGGCCGTGAGATTGATGTGCTTGCCGTAGGGACTTCCCTCCAGGGTGTAAAATCCTTTGTTTTCTTTTGGGACTGTAAACATGCTTCAGGGCCAGGGAGTAAGAGTTAACTTCTCCAGAACTATATGGCATTCGGAAAGCTAATGTTTGCTGTTTTCATATTTTATACAGGTAGTAAGCATTAATAATGTCTTTCATCTTTGAGTGGATCTACAATGGCTTCAGCAGTGTGCTCCAGTTCCTAGGTAAAGCCAATTTCCTTGAAATATATCATAGGTTTCAAACTTTCTGCATTTCCTCCAGCAATTTAAGTACAAGCAGCCTTTGATATGTAGAGAACAAAATGTTAAAGTTTTTTTTTCTCTTTTAGGACTCTACAAGAAATCTGGGAAACTTGTATTCTTGGGTTTGGACAATGCAGGCAAAACCACTCTTCTACACATGCTCAAAGATGACAGATTGGGCCAACATGTTCCAACATTACATCCGAGTAGGTTTGAAAATACCAGATGACCTTTTGATATTTAAAGGTCAATATCAAGGTTGGAGGATGAATCCCCAATTTAAGTAGTTCTTCTTTTTTAAAAACATGTTATTATTGATTTTAGAGAGAGAGAGGAAGGGAGAAGGATAAAGAGATAGAAACATCAATGAGAGAGAATCATTGATCAGCTGCCTTCTGCACACCCCCTACTGGGCATGTGCCTTCACCGAGAATCGAGCTGGTGACCTCTTGGTTCCTGGATTGACACTCAACCATTTAGCCACACCAGCTGGGCAATGTAGTTATTTTCTTAACTGAGATCCCAAAAGACAGCTCACTTGAAAAAAAATTCCCTATAGGACACACTCAGGTCACATACTTTATAAATCTGAACCTCTGGAACTTGGTCACTCTCTATTCCCACTAGTCCTATAACGGGACATATCTCTCATATCTACTTCTAAGCAGTAGGAGACACATTGGAGAAAAAGAAACTTGGCTTCTAAAACTAATTTAAGAATGTTTTCACACTTGTATTCTTTTCTTTACAAGGTGAAAGCTTTATTAAGTTTTGCCTTTGTATTGGCTTATAATACTCATAGCTGGGCCTTGTGTGGATGGAGAAGTTTGTTTATTCTCTTTTGATAATTTTTCAGCATCAGAAGAGCTGACAATTGCTGGAATGACTTTTACAACTTTTGACCTTGGTGGGCATGAGCAAGGTAAGAAATGATTCACTGAAAAGATGGTATTGACTTATGGTTCATTTTGTTCCCGTCTTTTTTTAAAAGCAGTTTGTCATTTTTACCTTTTAAATTGCTTGCATTTAGGATTGAAATCTTATTACTTTAATGAAGTTGGTTTATTCCCTTATTATTTTTAAGTAATTTCCAAATTGTGAAAAGTTTCAAAAATGATAGAGAATTCCACTGCTTTATATCTTTTGTCCAGATTTATTTGTCTCCCTCTCTATATAATACATATTCTCTATATAATACATATTAATACTTACTTTTCTTTAACCGTTTGTGAGTCCATCATGGTCTTTTTGTTGTTGTTAATCTTCACCTGAGGTTATTTTTCTATTGATTTTTAGAGAGAGTGGAAGGGCGGGGGGGGGGGGGGGGGGAGAAACATCGATTGGTTGCCTCTTGCATGGGTTTGATTCCTGATCAAGGGCATGTACCTGGGTTGCAGGTTTGATCCTTGGCCCCTGTCTGGGTGTGTGTGTGAGGCAATCATTTGATGTTTCTTTCTCTTTCTCTCCCCCTTTCTCTCCCTTTCTCTCTCTTTCTGCTCCTCCCTCCCTCTCTCCCACACTCTCTAAAAAGCAATGAAAAAATACCCTGCCCTAACCGGTTTGGCTCAGTGGATAGAGCGTTGGCCTGCGGACTGAAAGGTCCCAGGTTCAATTCCGGTCAAGGGCATGTAATTTGGTTGCGGGCACATCTCCAGTGGGGGGTGTGCAGGAGGCAGCTGATCCATGTTTCTTTCCCATCAATGTTTCTAACTCTCTATCCCTTACCCTTCCTCTCTGTAAAAAATCAATAAAATATATTTAAAAAAATATCCTTGGGTGAGGATTAACCAAAACAGATAAATAAATAGAACATTGGTAACTTTAATTGTTCAGCCAAAAAATATTAGCCAAAAGGCTGGGAAGCAATCCAAATAATTTTATAGTCAGTGATTTCGTTAGCATATAATTACATGTATTTTATTTATTTATTACTTATATGCTACCAAGTCATATATGTAGTATGGTCACAATCATATAAAATAGCAGTGTATGTGTTTTGATGGAGGATTATAGATTATCTTGGGTTTTTTGTTTTTTGGTTTGTTTGTTTGTGTTTTTTTTTTGGTTAATCATTACCTGAGGATATATATTTTTTCTATTGGTTTTTGGAGAGAGTAGCAGGAAGGGAGGGGGGGTGAGAGAAAAAAAAACCCCACATCTGTGTGAGAGAGAGACATCCATCAGTTACCTCCTGCATACGCCTCAACCCAGGCTGGAATTGGGCTGTAACCCAGGTACATGCCCTTGACTGGGAATCAAACTCAGACCAACGTGCAGACCAACACACTAACCACTGAGCACCGGCCAGGGCTTTTTTCTCCCTACAATGAGCTTGTATTACTTTCATTTGGGTTTGAAGGGGTATATGGTGTATTTTCTGCTTCTTTTAAAAAAGATTTGTAACTGTTTACAAATTTAAATTCCGAGGTAATAGTTATAAGCTGAACTGAGGCCATTTAGAGAATGCAGAACAGTAGGTGCTTTTAGACACCTGAAGTGGGAATTGTGTATTATTTGGTGTGATAATTTAGCTTTCAGGTTTTGATAGAGTAAGAAGGGAAATGTGTTCATGAAAATAGGTTTGTTTGAGGAAAATTTACTTAACAGAAACAGTTTTTCATAATAACCTAGCCTCTATTATACAGAAGTTACTAAAATACTGTACATTTGGAAGTTTCCTTTATTTATATGTAACTTAAAAAATCTAACTATTAAAAAAAATATATAACTATTATAAAAGTAGTCTAGACTCAGTGTAACAAATTTAGTATACAATCAGCATACACATATGGAAAGTAAAGTGAAAGCTTCCCCAAACTTCTTCCCAGCCCCTCTTCCGAGGCAACCATAATTAACTGATGTAGAGATTCTTCCTTAGTTATCCCATTGAAAGAACTAGAAATGAATGGCTTAGAAATGACAATATAATTAAAGCATTGCTTCCTAAACCATTATCACTTCATATCATAAGCAAGTAAAAAAATATTATAAGCACCCTGGGTTGAATAGGGGAGACCGAGGTGATTGGCCTGGAAACTTGAACCACCTGTCAGCCCAGTCTCCCTGAGGGCTGAGCGGATGAGTGTGTCACTACACTTACACATCAGTTGGTTAGGAACTAACTTGGGACTGAAGTTGTATGGACAAGTAATTGGCATCATGATATTTTAACTAGAGGCTGCAAACTAAAATGGCTCCAGGGGCAAGGAAGGTGATTTAAGTGAGTGAAATGAACTGGGTGTAAGACAGTAAGGAATGGTGAGAACTTTGACAAACTCAACAGCCCAGACCTTATCCAAAGGGGCGTTGGGTAGGTGGGCATGGGGTTGCCAGATGTTGCAGTTTTGGAGAAAATTATGCAAAAACCCCTAGTTTTTGAGTTTTAAAAATCATTTAGTTCATGGACCATCAGTTTATACCTTCTGTTCTGACTTTTAATAAAGACTAGAGTTGGAAAATCATATGGAGTTTAATGCTATTGAAACCTGGCCAAGATTTGACCATTTCATAGATCATTAGATTATTCATTTTCAAAATGGATATTTTTTTATTGATGAAATTACGAACTTTGTCTTTTTAGCACGTCGGGTTTGGAAAAATTATCTCCCAGCAATTAATGGGATTGTTTTTCTGGTGGATTGTGCAGATCATCCTCGCCTCATGGAATCCAAAGTTGAACTTAATGTATGTTGATATTTTTTTCCTCTCGTGGCCTGTATTTCTTTTAAGGAATACAGCTCAGTAGTGCCTGTACTTAAACTTTCCAGTTAACATTTGATAAAGGTCCTAGTTAGGAAAGAAAGTGTTTTAAAATCTACAACATTGCTTTTCAATGTCCTAAGGACACTCAGCTTGCACTTGAGTAAATTAATTTTGCTTATATCTCTCAGAGGGTGTCCAATTTGCTCAGAACACTCCCCAGTGTATGCCTGTTGTCTCATCATAATTAATGCCTTTCCCTTTCACATACTACATATGGTCACTCTTTATGAAGTATTAGCATAGTGATACCTTAAAAGGGATTAGCATTAGTTCTTTACATTTTGAGTCTGCCTTCTCAGGTTGTGCCTACCCACCTTTGCACCGAATGACTTGCCAGACCGTAATAGCCTGTTCTCAGTCTTCAGTTTTGGTAACGTGCAGGGTTTGATACTATTAAGGAGTCACTTCAAGTTTTCTCCTTTCTCAATATTGCATTTTCTTGGCTTGACAATTTCTATAACGTTGCCTTCTTTGCCCTGTGCCTCTTCTTTCTCTCTGATTTATAACTGTCCCTTTGCATTCTTGTTCCTGACAATTTGAACATGTCTCAAGTTTATTTGTAAGTACGTTTCTCGAATCTATACTCTTGTGTCATGTAGAACCGCCTACGGGGCAGTCCTTCCCTTACTTGACTCCTTGGCACTGCCATTCTCTCTTTTTAAACTCCTCTTTACATTCTTGTTTTTTTCCCAGGGTCTAGACTTGCTTCTAGGCTGGTCCGGGCTACTCCCATTCCTTCATTTACCACAGTGACTCCCAGATGGATGTCTTTGGACTATACCTTTCTTGAGCTCCAGCCTCATACATAATGCTGCCTATTAGACAACTCATCCTACCAGTTCTGTTCTGAAATGGAACTATTGATCTTCCTCCCCGTCTATCTGGACATGTAGTCCAGAACCCTGTGAATTACTGTAGATTTCACCACCACCCTGCCATATACTGTAATAATGCTAGAAGGAACTTTCTCAAGACTTATCATTGCCTTAATTAATATCCATTAATAGATCGCTATCATCTTCAAAACAAAATCTACAAATCTGCATAGCACATAAACTCTTTCAAGAGCATGCTTCTGTTTATTTCACTAGCTACTTTTCTGTTGCTTACCTTGAACTACATCTCAAACAATTTGCCCTTTCTCGAGAATACAGAAGTGGCTATCCTGCCTGGCTTTCTCACCTGACCCCCTACCTCCTTTTGCTGGTAAATTTGAAAATGTCCTTGAAGAGCATTCAGAGTTCAGGCATGACCACTTCTAGGAATCCTTCTTTTACTTCTCAGATTATTAGACTCTCCATCTCATTAGTGTCTGTTGTCTTTCCTGGGTTGTTTTTATTGGTCTTTCCCACCAGACTTTGAACTTAAATGGTAGGGACCTTGTCTTACTTCTTTGCACCTAGCAAAACATTGGACACATAGGCACTTTGTTGGCATGAATCAATGACTTCCTTACTCTGATTTTGTCATTTCTTGGAACTTAAATGGTCAAAGCATGTTCACATTTATCCATTCAACTCTAGTCTTTCCTAGCTTTTCCTTTCAGTAAGAACTAGACTCTCAGTGTAATATTGCGATTTATAAGAAATATATTTTTATCATCTGAATGACCAGATATGTTTCTCATATATATTTGATCTTTATCCATAGTTCCTGGCATACAGTTCCTGGAATTTTCTAAGTGAGGGGAGCCACATAGATATCTTCAGTTATGTTAATGAGGTAGATTTTAGACCTCACTGATGGATGAGGCTGGTTGCCAGGAGACTTTCAGCCCCAGCTCCTGACTCCCAGGGAGGAGAGAGGGGCTGGAGGATGAATCAGTTGCTAGTGGCCAGGGATTTAATAAATCATGACTATGTAATAAAGCCTCTATAAAAACCCAGAGAGCTTCTGGGTTGGTGAACACTTGGAGATTTGGGGAGAGTGGTACACCTGGTGAGGACGTGGATGTTCCATGCCCTTTCCCCATACCTTGCCCTATGCATCTCTTTTATCTGGCCTTTTATAGCCAACCAATAATCCAGTAAGTAACATGGTTCTCTGAGTTCTGTGAGTCATTTCTAACAAATTAAACCCAAAGAGGGGGGTTATGGGAACCCTGATTTAAATCCAGTTGGTCAGTACAAGTGATAACCTGGACTTGCTACTGGTGTCTGAAGAGGTGTGGGAGCCTTGTAGGACTGAACCCTTAACTTGTGAAATCTGATGCTTATCTCCAGGTAGATAGTGTAGAATTGAGTTGAATTGTAGGACACCCAGCTGGTGTACTGAGAATTGTGTGTTAAGCAATTCTAATAAATGATGTCCCCTCACATTGCACTAGGTACAAGACCCGTTCACCCATTCTTGAAATCTCTGCCAGCTTTGACTCCTCTTTTGTCTATTATCATTTAAACTTCAGTCTCTTTACCTCTTTACTCCAAAATTCCTGCTGCACTATTCATTATATGCTGCCACCTTAGGCTAGATCATTATCTCTTACCTGAGCTCTACGGGTAGATACTGTTTGTGAATGCATTGCACTAAAAGTATGTAGATTCTCTCTGTAACTTCTGGATTTGGGGTCTTTAGAGTCTACTGCAGTTAACCTCTCAGACTGGCACCATAATGTTGGTTATCCCTTGCCATCCTGTTTACTCTGTCACTGCATATCAACATAAATGTGTTAATCCAGCCAGATGCTACTCCATAAAGCTTCCTGAATTCTTTTCCTACTGTAAAGCCATTGCTTATATTCTTCTTCCTCTTTTTCACCTATTCTAGTCCTGTCCCTCCTTCACTGAGCCAAACCAGCTAGGGCTCTTGTCCCTCCTTCAGAGCCTGGTTTAGGTTCTACATCCTTGCTAAGACTTTCCTCAAGCCCACATCAGCATTTTATTTCCTTGATTGCTTTTCAGTATTTATAGTCTGTCCCCATTCGTTGTGACACTTAATCATGCACTTGCCTTGCTTTGTTGACAGATGTGTAACATAGAGTGAGGATTTCTTGGCTAGGGGGCCGTGTCTTACCCTCCCTTTTGTATCCGTCAGTACATTTTGCACACATTGGGCAATCAGTGAATACCTGGGGAGTTCCTGTTGTCATATTAGAGCCTCGATAGCCAGAGCATTCATGCTTCTAGGACTGCTCAGTGGATACCCCAAGGATGGTCTGTGCGTGAGTGACTTAACTCAGAGCTACGGGTGGGGCAGTTCTGCTCCTTGTAAACAGACACAGCCTTAGGTTGCCATTGTTCTGAAGCCATTGAGGGATTTTTGCCTAATGTCAAAGTATTTTTAGGGGCTTTTTACCTAATATTAAGAGTGTTGTAGATAATGTCCAGAATAAACTTTGAGTTAATCACTCAAGTGTCAAGATGATTAGATTTTCACTTTACATTTGCTACCTTTTAGACAAATGAAAGTCAAAGTGATTTTCATTATCTGGTGGCTTTTCTGGATCCTCACTCTTTTTTATCTTGTCTCCAGGCTTTAATGACTGATGAAACAATATCCAATGTGCCAATCCTTATCTTGGGTAACAAAATTGACAGAGCAGATGCAATTAGTGAAGACAAACTCCGTGAGATATTTGGGCTTTATGGACAGACCACAGGGAAGGTAAGAGAAAAATCTTTAGAGGACATATAAAGAGAATTCACAGCTTTGCTATCTAGAATTTACTTGTTTTTCTAAAGTTTAACTGGGCTTAGGATTTGTTGCATTACAGGTAATTTGTAGACAATGAAGGCTGGAACATGTTCTTTTTTTTAAAAAACTATTTTATAATGTGATACATGAGAATAAAGGAAATGGTACAAATGGCAAACTTAATATTTTAAAAAAAATATATTTTATTGATTTTTTACAGAGGAAGGGAGAGGGATAGAGAGTTAGAAACATCGATAGGCTGCCTCCTGCACACTCCCTACTGGGGATGTGCCCGCAACCAACATGCCCTTGACCGGAATCAAATCTGGGACCCTTGAGTCCACAGGCTGACGCTCTATCCACTGAGCCAAACCAGTTAGGGCAAGAATTTTTTTACTACCTTTCAAATTCAGTTCTTAGAAATCTCATTTGAAAGAACTTTTTAAAGCCAGAAATCAATTTTTTTTTTTAACTGGAGATTTCAGGTTATGAAGAAGAGTGTTCATTTATCTATATCACTTTCTAAGCATTGAATTCAAAGCACTGGATTCTTGGCCTGTTATCTCATTCTGAAGATGAAACTCTGACAGTGGTTTGTTCAGGTTCACACAGCAAGTCAGTAATGAAAGCAGGAGCAGGACCCAGGTCTAGATCAGTAGATCATGTTGTCTCCAGTTTAAAGAAGAAAAGTATGCTTGAGAGAGAAAATTTAAATCAACCATAATTAAGCATGAATCCTGGCCTTTTCAGCTCAGGATTTTGGCATATTTAACATTTAAGTTTTTCTTTTCTGGAATCTGTAAGGATTTTTTTTTTTTTACTTTTTTAGATGGTTCTTTTGCCCCTTGGTTACCTATTTCTTTCCAGAAATGCTTTCTCTAATTTGTTTAGTTTCCCTCTCTTGCATGAGAATTACACACACGAATTCTTAATTTCTTCAGTATAACCTGTTATTAGTGTATCTTTCTGAATGTTTGCATTAATGAGAATATTTCTAAAAAGTCCCAGACTTCTTTTGTCCATCAAAGAGCATGCTGGTTCTGTGGGTCCCAGTGGCCTTTTTCTTGGTTTGCTGCCATAGCTGGCCAGTGAATGTTGGTGTGTTCAAAGCAAATGCACTTCTTAGGGAGATGCTGGGAGTAGGACTGTGCTGCTTCCTCTATCCTGAAAGTATGAAGCCCTGGGGAAGTCATTTGTATGGCCTGGACCACACTTTTTAAAATAATCCCTCCTTAGAGTTGCTTTTGAGGAATGGGAAAAGTGATTTTTGTGATCACCCTTTCAAACTTTGCACCAGGAAGGTGCTAACAGGCCTTTCTTGACTTTGCCTCCCTTAGGGAAATGTGACCCTGAAGGAGCTGAATGCCCGCCCCATGGAAGTGTTCATGTGCAGTGTGCTCAAGAGGCAAGGCTACGGCGAGGGCTTCCGCTGGCTCTCCCAGTATATTGACTGATGTATGGACAGTGAAAATAAAAGAGTTTTACTTCTCTGGACTGATCCTATTCACAGCCTCCTCATGAACTTTTCTAATAGAACAAGGAAAGCTCTCCACAACCATGTCTGGCGTTGAGAAGCCAAGAGTCTCTGTCAGCTCTCTCTTCTCCCAGTGGTGACATGTGCTCTTCACACTGTCGGGAGGTCACGCTGCCCCATGTGCTGGTGCAGGTCAGCATCCCAGGACTTGGAAGCTGGCAGGATTTGCCGGGAAAAGCTGTGTGCCATCATGGGGCACCTGAACAGAAAAACACGTCTCACCACTGAGGTTGATTTCAAAAGAAAGCAATTCTATTTTTTAAAGAAAGTGTTGTTTATGTAATTGGTTTCCCTTCTAACTTTTTGAGTTTACAATTTACTTGGTCCAGAGTTTTCTATTCCTTTTTTTTTTTTAATCTAGTGAATGGCATTTAGATACTTCCTAAAATTATACAGAGGTACATGTTGGAGGCCAGAGCTCAGTCAAGTGAACTCACTCCTGTTGAGTTAGCAGTTGGTGGAAGAAGCTCCCCTGCCTAACTGCCTGGAGTAGGTGGCATCACCTTGTGCACAGAGAACCGGAAAAGGGCAGGCCTGGCCTCGCAGTTGCAGGTTCCCACTGTGGCAAGCTGGGGCTCTTCCGCCTCACGAGTGCATAGCAGATTGTTCACGGCAGGGGAGGTCGTTATACAGTGGGTCATTGTTACTATCATTACCTATAAAGTTACAAATTTCAGCCAGTCTCTGCTTGGAATTGTGGTTTCATTTCTCTTTGTAGCACTTTTTTTTTCCAGTTATAGCAAGTGACTTTTGCCTCAAAATAGAGTTGAGACCATCTCCCATGTTGTCCTGTACTGCAAGTGTGTCAGTTACTTTTGCACAGATTTTAGGGGAATTTTTCCGAATAGGAGAGTCACACAAGACACAGGTAACAGCTTAAGGGCTCTTAATTTTGTGATTTGAGAACTTAAAAATCTGGTATTATAGCATTTGGTTGAATCTGGGAAGGATTTATTCAGTGGACTATAAATTTTCCACTTGCAGCATTTGGTCTCTGGACTTTTCATGAGCTTTTTTTTTTCTTTTAAATCAGTTATCAATTTTTTTGGTGTTTAAGGATGTTTAAAGGTTAACATCTTTTCCAGAATTTTATTTTTATGACATTGCCTTTCTCCATTCCAGAAATAAGCTGGGGAAACTCGAATTCAAGAACTTCGTGTAGAGCTTTCCCTTTTGAGCCAGCATCATTTATTGTCAGCAAGCACTCAGTACAGAAGCCGCCACATCCCCAGCAGTGTAATGAGGAGGGTGTTTATAGCTTTCCATTTCTTAATGCCATGGGTGAAATTGGATTTTCTTGATCTTAACCAATTTTCTACCCTTGCAGTAAAAGATGACAGGATGGGAGGTGGTCTTAAAATGGGAGAATATCTTCATTCACTTTTCCTTTAATGAAAAGTTAGAGGTAGTTTCCTCAAAATTGAAAAATTGTGATGATGATGCCGATACACAGATGATTGAATTCAGTGGATTCTTGCTTACAATAAGAGGGTAGGGAAAGTGTGGATAACATATTTTTGGGGTGAGAGAGTATTGTTCTTTAGTCGGATTTCTCTTTAATGATGTCTTCAATACTATTAGGAGAGCATACTTTTTCACTGCCAGGTACCAAATGCGGAGGCTCTGTGGAGTATAAGTCTGGAATGAGCATGACTTTCGTTTATGAGCAAGCATAGCTGGATTAAGACAGTTGTTGGTTTGGAAAGGGGTTAAAGCCTTAAGTGAACAAATCTAGCTAATGGTGAATTAACTTGCATACTTTTAATTTACTTTGGCTAAAGGTAATCTATCCTTCTCCATCCAGAGACATGAGAGTATGATCGCTTCAGTGTTAGTTTTCTTGTTTTTTCTCTTTCCCCCTACTCACTTTGTAGCAAGCTAGAAAACTGTGGATTCTGTGCAGGGCAGCTCTTTGTGAAAGTGGTTTATTTTGGCCACTGGAGAAAGGGGGGGTCGAAAAGCCAAGTGGCACCCGTCTGTGTGTTGCCCCCCCATACAACACTGTTCCTGTAGTAACAGCAGAAAGAAGCAGCTGTGAGGAGCGTGACTCTAACAGTGAGGATCTGAGCTTTGGGCAAGAACTCCCATGAATTGAGACTTTTCATTCTGTTTTATCAGAGCGCATATAGGTCCTATTTCAGGAAAAGTAAAGCAGTCATTTACAAAAGAAAGTCAGTCTGTATCCTAAGCATTTTAATAAAAAGTTAAAACAAACTTGCTGTCTTTTTTTTTTTTGCAGTGGTTTTGAGTTTGAACATTTCACAATATTTGTGCTGGGGAAAGCAAAGTTCTTTCCTACTTGTGGGAAGAAATATATACAATGGATGTGAGAGACTTAAATTTTGCTACGGGGATGGGGGGGGGGGCGCGGGAAAGGCTAAGCCAATTTACACATTCCACTAGAAATAATTTAGTACTGTTTGGGAGCCTTGGAACATGTGGTGGTCCCAGAATTGGTGGTAATCTTTGAGACAGAATAGATAGGGCAGACTTCAAACAAAATCTTGTATTAATATGCTAGCAAGGACTGGATCCATCTTTAGCTGTGTTTCATCATTTTATAAAAAATTGGAAAGATCCAGTTGAATGCTACATTTGGCAAAATAGAAAAAATGAAACCTTGTGCATTTACTAGGCTTGTAGGAAGACCTGCTTTTAGAAAATCCCAAATGAGATTCTAAAACTAAAGTGCCAGTATGAATATAATGGGAAACAAAATGCAACAGGTTCTTTTTTTTTTTTTTTTAATTGATTTCAGAGAGGAAGGGAGAGGGAGAGAGAAACACCAATGATGAGAAAGAATCATTGACCGGCTGCCTCCTGCATGCCCCACGTGGGATGGAGCCCGCAACCCAGGTATGTGCCCTGACTGGGAATCTAACCATGACCTCCTGGTTCAAGGGTTGACATTCAACCACTGAGCCATGCTGGTTGGGCTCAACGGGTTCTTTTTGACCAAGTATTCAAATTGGAGACATCCTGCGATTGAAACTGATGTCCATGTTCCTATGATAGGAGGCCATGGGTTCTATGTTCATGTGCATTTGTGTTGTTTGAGATGGAGTGGAACATGAGAAGTGAAGGCTGAGTCAGTGAGCCCAATACTCAAGGGGTCTCACCTTGACTGTTGGCTGTGACTTGGGACTCTACTGTAATGTGCCATCAACAGAAAAAACTGACATAGAACATGCTGGAGGCTTGAGAGACTAAGAATCACTGGACGAGAGAGAAACTCTTAATTGCTAGGAAGTTGGGACAGCTGAGAGATTTTGTTGCACTCAAGCATGTGTGTCACAGAACCAAAAAGAAAAGATGCTGATTTCAATCCTGCCTTATACTAAAATGGATCATCGTTTCCCGTTCTCAAAACAGCTTTGTTACTGGGAACACTGAGCATTACCGCGTGTTACTAGTTTTATTCAAAAATTTGAGACAGAAGTGTATTTTAGTAATTGAATACTTTTCATTAATGCTAACAAAAATGTCCTAAAATAAACATTAAAATGTGTATTTTAGAGATACGGTGATAAATGTCTAGCTTGTGGCTGCTTTGGGGATATCCTGAACCTTTTCCCCACAAACATACGCATGTTCCTTATCCTCAAAGATATTTCTTTGGAAAAGAAGGGTTATTTTGTGTTTGCTTAGATCAAAGATGACAAACTCTGCCTCATGGGCTAAATCTGGCTTCCTGCCTATTTTTGATCTATGAAGGAAAAATAGAATGTTATTTTGTGACATGAAAATTATATGAAACTCAAATTTTAGTGGCCATAAGTTTTGTTGGGACACAGACATCCGTTCCTTTGGGTTTTGCATGCTAGGACTGCAGAGTTGAGTATTTGAAACAATGTATGGCCCACAAAAACTGAACTGCACTCTGGCTCCTTACAGAAAAGGCATTTGGCCCCTGACCTACATAAATTCTAGGGGTTATGTGAAATGTGCATACTGTAAAATATAGGCTTATAAAATTAAAATTTTTTACTTCAGCCAGTGTTCATAGTCCATTTTAAAGGGCACTTTTATTTGTAGCAAATTCAGCTTTCATGGAATTTGTAGTGTTGGGCTTTGTCATCAAAAGACACAAGATGTGCCCAGGCAGTGTGGCTCAGTGTGAGCGTTGACCTATCAATCAGGTCAGGGTTCGATTCCCAGTCAGGGCACATGCCCGGGTTGCCGGCTCAATCCCCAGTGTGGGGCATGCAGGAGGCAGCTGATCATTGATTCTCATCATTGATGTTTCTCTCTCCCTTCCTCTCTGAAATAAACATATATTTTTTAAAAAAACCCGATGTGCAATATTGAGCCCCATGCCCCTAGTGGATTGCTATAGGGTTTACGTAACAAAAATTTAAAAATATTGAAATGGCTAAGGATTTCTTTGCCTTATTATCCCCGTCAGTGGTCGAACGTCACCTCGACCTAGGCAGATGCTGACAGGTGCTGTCATGGCTTAGGAAAATCTAGCCACGTCAGCGCTCATTTCTATTCTCTTTCCTGAAGCCCAACGAAGAGACCAGACTAAGCTTCCGAGGGGTCCGCCCCCTGCCCCTCCCGCAATCTCGGTGTCGCCGCAGGCCAGTCACTTTCCTGGGGCTCATCCTACGGGACTGCTGTGCCGCTCGGGTGGCACGACCAACAGGGGAGGAGAAAGGGAAGCGTCGGCCTCCAGCAGCCAATCAGGGCTGGGCCTCGGGTCCAGCCAATCAAGGCTTGGCCTCAGGTCCAGCCAATCAGGGCTTGACCTCGGGTCCAGCCAATCCCGGCCAGTGGGGCTCAGCCAATCGCGCCGGACGCGGAAGGCCGGAGTCCGTGTTTGCGTCAGTCGCTCCCAGCCCTGGGCGGCGCTGTGTGGGGTCCGCAGGTGCCGGTCGGGGTTCTCGCTAGCTCCCCGGTTCTCCGGGAA